GGCGAGGCCTCGTAGCTCAAGTGGCTAGAGCGTTGGCTTTACTAAAGCCTTCACCTTACTGCGCGAGTTCTAACCCCACCGAGGCGCCAAGTTTTTCACAGTTGGGCCAATATGAACAAGCATAATCAGCAGAATTCACTGATACCATATAATTCATACCAGGGACAAAATACTTCAAACTTCTTCATGGTCCGTTATTCCTAATTGGCCTGGGCGCTATGTGCACAGCCGCATAGCAATCCCAGGGTGAACTTCTCAGTAATAGTTACATCAACTTGCTGCCTTTATTAACGAGAGCCATGCTGATTTGCGGAACCATCTTATCATTTCTAAAGGAGTTCATCAATGTCCTCGTAAACCCTAGAAAGATGACGAGACTTAACTGCTCCTTGATTTTCGTTTACTGTGAGACCCCGTTGGCTAGTCTCAACAGTACTGGCCTTACGCGACCATAACTTGTGCATGAGTTAGTGACAATAGACTTGCACAGCACCCACCGCACTCGCTCTTCCCCACTCTACACCTGGACCCGGTGTCAAGACAGAGGCAAGAAGACCGGAGGAGGGAAGAGGGCGCAGATGGCTGGCGCGACCGGAGCTGCACATAGGCGTGCCACCACACCCCGTGGTCCACACAGCAAATGACCAGGATTTTTCGCCAACAACACCCCAGCAGGGACCAGAGCAACGACAAAAACTAAAACACCCTAACAGGGGTCGGAAGGACGGGGATGAACGGGCGGCCATGCCCACCACCCGTGCACCTAGCGGGAGCGCAAGCACATCTATCGGCAGGGAACCAGGTCTGTACTGTAGGTGGAGAGGGTGAAAGCATACTTGGGCATCCTGAGATTGGGGCGTTGGGGTCCTGCTACCCAATCGGAACTCCTATTTTAAACACCAGCCCCCACGACTGTGTTCCGCCTCCGGAATCCCTTGATGAGGGTGGCATCTAATTTTCCCTTGGCACATCAGTCCTCCCCCCGGTGGTTTCTGGCATCATGGCCGTCTCGAGTGAAGACCTGCAGTTCACGCATTCACAAATGACCACCTTCGCGTGCCACGGCCGCGTTCAGTGAGGCAAAGCAAGAAGGCAATACTCAGTCAGGTTTCACAGAGACCCTTGTGATATAAGCACCGCGCTTCCAACCATACATACACCACGCATGATCCTGCACGACGGAGGCGCCTTCACCGTCTTGTCTGAAGACACAAGTGAATGGATTTATCACACATCCCTGAGGCCGGTTGTGATGCTGAGCAAATGAGCGGACTCAAACACCTCCGACCCTAGCTGTTAAGACTTACAGTGAAGTCCACCGGGTAAGTAGCGCCTTTTGAAGCAAAATTTCAGAAAGTCAATTCAACCAAAGGGAGAACTCAAGGCTCCATATGCCGAACGAGGAAGACCGAAAAGGTCATAAAAGATAGTAATCCAGTGCAGCGTGAGGAAGTCGGACAGTTACACAAAAACAAAGAGGATGGGGGGGGGGCGGGACTATTTGCCAATTTTAAGTGCGGTACGAAACGTGACATACCCAAGTTGGTGTCGGCTCGGATTAAAAGTTGAAACTTCTGATCATCCGATGGGATTATATGAAGATTTCCCAAACCGCGCTCGGTCCACTGATCTGCCTTTTTGTAGAACAATTTGCACCTATACAGATGAGACCAAGGCAAGAGGTTGAAGGAAAAGCAAACGAATAACGAGTGAGAGCGGGAGGAGGAGAAAATGCTGGGGAAGGTAGAAGGAAATACTACTGCATTGGGCATGCATGTTCTATGAAAATGTCCCAAGCATTGCTAGCAATTTACTATGGCAAAACATCCGGAAACACTAACTCGGCAAAGTGCGTCTGGGACAACTGGGAGAGTAAGAAGACGAACAAAGTTTAAATTACGGGCAAATTCAGGTGAAAGTGCCAGGGGGGTTACTAAGACATGAATTCCCCTAAAGGCAAACTATTGCACAATTTGAAAATCGGTTTTTACGAAGACGCAAGTTCCCACGATGGACCCACCCTAAATAGGCATGCGAACACTGAAAATGAAATACACTACCTAAGTAATGACTGAGCGAAATTGTAGTGGATCGGGTAGAAAAGCCAGCATGCCAGGCGCATCATTATGCAACTCCATTCCGATGATAGTTGTAATTCCCATGCATACCTAATGGCTGCCGTGAATGCTGCACTGTCTTCGACCTATGTCGCAGCCCAGTGGCCGGTCAGAACACTGAGCACTGATGACATATTTTCTCTCAAACAGTTGTGGAGGGCAGACACTCCGAGGAAAAACAAAGATAGAGGGGTACGTACCGCATTGTGAAAACGGAGCCCTCTTCCTTGATCTCACGCACTTCCGGCTTCGGGGGGACGTACTCCTCGTCCTCTGAAAAGAGCATGACAGAGAAAAGCGTACACAAGCGGAAAGAAGACTAGTACTGAAAATTGTTGCTGTCACAGGTGAATGAAATCGCTAAAAAGGCCAGTTTATTTACAAACACTGCCTGATAACCGTTCTTCGAGTAAAGTACTCTGACTTGTCTTCGAACAAGGTGGTCCGCAATAGCTGCGAAAACATCACTAGCATATCTCAGGCCACCCGACAGAGGTGATTTTGGCACCTTTATCGTCATCCACCTCAGGGGCTCAGTGCTGCTGTCTTCGATCCAGCGGCGTTGTCCACCTGGAGACGCCGAAGATGAAGTCAATTCGCAACCTGGCTCGACTCGGTTTTTGGACTTTCCGTGCACAGTCTTCACCACTGTAGGAGGCACAATTTGTGACAAAAGAAGGAGATACGACCGCTGGGATAAGATGTTTAATGGCATCTCATTATTTTTAACAGCATACAGAGACTCATCTTTTCGCTTCTATCGACTGTCCGCAACATCATCGAGTCTGGTTAGGTCAGACATGATCAGTTGTGTCAAATACAACTAACCCGCACTCTCCAGTAATGTCTGTGGCTCAATCGTCCGGCAAAATATATAGGACACCTAATGTGGCGGTTACGACACCTCCATCTACACACGCTGTTTCAAGCTGTGACTTACGTTACATCACTGTGTACCACAAGTCCACTCATTAACATGTCCACATGTTACATAGCGTCCGCCGGTAGCGATTACCTTCCCCTACCACCTCCAACACCAACAAAAACAGTCGCTTTCCATCAGTGAGATGGTGGGGAAAGATCCTATTCGAAGCAGACGCCTAGCATCCTCACTACAAAGGTCGAGAGCGCTTTGAAACTACCCCGTCGAGCTAACAGACGCGGCTGGGAAAGTTATCAATTGATAGGACTGAGGATCAGGCTGCAATGGCTCCCTAATCCGGCATCTTTGACGCCTGTCATGCTTGATACCGGCGCTTTGAGGTAACAGAGTCTGTCGCATGCACAAAGGAAATAAGCTGATGCGAAAAAGACGGACAACGGCATCTCCTTCGTGGCCCCTAATGGTCGTTGGCACACTCTGGCCTTAGGCTAATACGGAGGTTTTGCTTCACTATGAACGGAGAATAACGCTTAAGACTTTCGGGCAACATGCCCAGCGGAACGATGCTTAAGTTAATGATAGTTCTTGTGCTGAAATAAGTTGTAAGAATTGGGAGGACCCTGCAGCATAAAAGGGCGCAGGATATGTAGCCTTTTTGGCAACAAAGACCACGCTAATAAAAACGGTCTAATAGTCAGCAAGACGGAACTAGTTACCTGCATCATTGGTGCTTGGCTTTGCCTCCTCAGTGGCCTCTTTTGGTGTCGCCGAAAAGGAGAAGGCTGGCGTCGTTGATGAGGTGACGCTGGTATTTTTCATCGCTGACAAGCCAAAACTAAATACAGGTTTCGTCGACTCGCTCGATGTGCTGGTCTGAGAAAATGAAAATGTGAAACCGCCATTCGGGAAGGAGGGTTTAAAGGGCGCTGGCAAAGGCGGTGGGGCAGCGGTTGTGGAAGTCTGAAAACTGAAGGGTTGGGAAGTGTTCAGATCTGCAGGGGCTTTTTCGGATGAATGCGCGGTCTTTGCGTTGTCCTCCGAGGTACTTGCTGATGTTTCGATGGAGAGCAGGTGCCTTGAGTAGTCGCCAAAGATTGGTGTCAGTATACAGTAAGGGTCCTCGGACACATGCTTAGTTACCCATGCCAAAAATTCTTTATTTAGGACGGACAACTTTGCCAGATAAGCGTCATTCGGTGATTTTGCGTCCGAATTCTCAGTCGTCGATGAGGAGTTAGGGGACGTAGTCTTGACAGCACCAAAAGCATCGAATGACTTAAAGATACCCAATTTGTTTGAAGAGGGCTGGGTAGAATTTCTGCGCACCACCAAAATTTTTCGAGCCTTGAGAGTCTCCGGGTCAGCCTTCTCAAACTTCCCAGAGTCAGTATGCTCCTCAGGCTCGTCCCAATTGTCGTAGTTAAGCTGTTTTTCAGCTCCTCTCTTCATGTGGAACACAAAGGGAGTTGACAGGCGACAGGTTTGCAGCTTCACTGGGGTCTAGACAAAGCAGCCAACTGCCCTAATTTGGAAAGAAACACGAGAAGCTAAGAATGCAAATGAGTGGATAGGCATGCCAATGCATAAAAAGCCCGAGTCCAGTATGACAATTAGAGTCAACATTTGGGCTGCACGCAGCCGATATCACATAACGCATTCATCGGATGCCCTGGAGACCCTGGCAGACATGAATCAAAGCAAGCATGCCACAGACAAACTGCAGCAATTTCAGATGCAAGTGAAACGGTAAAACTCAAGACAAAGTGCGCCGTAAACTCTATGGGCATTAATAGGGGGGGGGGGTGTAAAAGAGCTTCAAGCTAGGAGAAGGGCATGGAAGGTTGAGTCTTGTTCACTCCAGTCAACACAGAACAGAAAACACGTAATGAGGTAGTCAAGTGGGTGGGTTGACTTACGACATCAAACAGGCGCAAACTGTAATCATCACTCTTTGGTGGAGATGGCGTCAAACGTGGCGGCGATAAACAGCGATAGGAAGAAAGAATGTTAGACTTATTATATGAATCACTTCTTCACGGACGGGCAACGGTACGAAGTGACAGTCCAGCGGTTCATTGCGTGTTCCTGGGCAAGGTATCGGAACATTCTTGCTTCCTAAGAGGGCTCTGTACATCTACGGAGCGAACTACATCTGAAAGACGCGAAACTTTCCATGGCGCTTGATACGTAAGCGTCATAGCACATTGCCAGTCGGCCCATAAAATGGTAGGTCCGCCTAAGTCATAAGTGAACTTTGGAACGTATTTGCAGAACACGCTTGAGTACAGAGTCCACGAAAAGACGAGAGAAAATGGATACTATTGGCATGCGCAGCTAGTGGTGTTAAGACCTAAAGGCTTAGTTGTACCTATTTATACATGTACCGGATGGCATCATTATTAGTTTAGTCGGCTCTGTAGATCACGACATAATTAGCCGGCGTGGCTCACGCCCTGCGGCAGATGGTTAAACGCCCTGTGGTCGTTACCCAGTTGGCGTTTCATGTAGGAACACTGAAGACCTGGGTCTGAGTTCGTAAGTCTGTTCAGAATTTCAATTGAGTATTACGCGGGCGCTGTCAATTCGCGTAAAATGTTGGAAAGGTGACGTCGAAGATGAGTTTACATTTGGGTCTGCGGAGTGCACGAGCAAAAACTCAATATCAATAAATAAGTGTTACACGTTGATGGAGAATCAGGGAATTTGACGCAGGCGAGATCTGCAGTTCCGCCTAGCCTAATAGTTGCGTCCTAATCCATAGGCTGATAGCGACGGATGAAGGCTTATCGATGGCGGGTGACAGACAGCATGTAGTAGTGGCGAGGCTACGTGGGGATAGCGTCCACCGATATATTCCAATAGCATAAAGGAGATTGGTACTGCTATTCTGCCTTGTTTGGCGGTCACACATCGACGAGCAATTAGTAATGGAGGGGGTGCTAGCGGCAGCGAAAGGCCCGACTGCCATTTCAGACGGCATTACACAGAAAAATGGTCCGACTGCGAACAATCTCGGGCGTCAGAAACCCAGAAATTTCAAATAAAAGGACGAATTAGGATTATTATATGGTGTATACAGAGAAGATAACAGACGCATACATACTTTAAGGGCCGGATAACCACGAGAGAAGAAAGAGGATAAGCAGCTGGTCAAATGGTAATCTGGATGTGAAAAAATGCAAAATATTCTCGACGTCGTTCCCTTAAGCTACCTCGAGCTGCCAATACAGGTGAAGGCTTTGTCGTATTGACCTTAGTCTAGCTCACCGTAACACATGTAACTAACGCTTCTCCATTAAGCGAAAGCAGAAACCCTGATAGCATTTAGTCGCCCAGGGCTAGACATCTGCTAGCCAGTTTGACTTGCGGGCTAGTAACCCTAATGGCCGACAGCGCTCGATCTGTGCGAGGAAAGGGGCTTTTCTGCTACACCCCCTCCTTGGTGCTCACCCGAGTGCATTTTGCACGTCATACCTGGGGGGTTCGTTTGCGCGTACGCACGCATTCAGGGTGCACGCACGCACGCGTCAACCTACTGTCCCCGTGTGGACAGTGTCCTCTAGGATTGCTGAAGAAATCCAGACAATCGCAACACTAGCCCGCGACCGGGCTAGCCCTGGGCGGGTAAAATGCTATCAGGGAATAGGGGCGCAAAATCCTGCGATGGAGAAGCACAAACTGTTCGACCAAAATCAAACATTTGCGAAGGTCGTATCGACGAATATAAGAACCTAAACATGCTTTCTTATCAAAGACCGTCAGGTATGGCAAGAATAATTTGACCACAGCTAGCCAAAGTAGTTTGTGTCGGTGGTTGGGGGCGTGTTTGCAGACACTTCCACACCATGCCCTGGTATTAAAAACACTTTTCCAAAAGTTTGGAATCTTTCGAATTTAGCTTTAATTGAAGCACTGGCGATGAAGATAACTTAGTAATTGAAAGCAGCGAACCTCACAGTGGCGCACGCGGAGAAGCAGGAAAAGTAGGACTCCGATTGGGTGCTTTAGGTTATTAATTTCACCCAAATAAATACAGTTAATAAAAACGAAACAGTTCTCGGGCTTCAGTTTTCGACGATGAAAGATTTTTTTGATGGATATGTCCATTCTAACACGGCAGAAGATGCTTCCCCGAGGGCAGTTAAACGTTTTAGGAGTTCAGAGCGTTTTTTGAAAGTGAAGACAGTTCTTGGTGTGTGTTTTGTTTTGTAATCTCATCTGAGCTTCCCCAATTTCTCTCAGAATTGAGAACTTATCTTTAGAAAAATACGATGAAAATATCTGTGCCTAACGATCACTTAATTCTATTGATGTGCATGTTACGTACATCCGGGGCATTGATCCGTTTATTTAATGCATGCAGCGCAGTACACGTTTTGTATGTGGGACACTGTTAAAAGAATGATGGTAGATAAACCTTTCATTTGCCGAAAGTATCGGGTTCTTAGAGAGAAAGCATCATAATTGCGAATAAGCAGGTTTGCGCACATGTAGTCATTGAGTGAAATGTATTAGTACTTGTGAAATATGCCCGGTCCCATTAAACCACAACAGAAGGCGGATTTCTCGATAGTAAATTCCGCATTTTGCAGAAATCCCGCTTAGCTTGGGCGCTTTTGGTCGGCTTCATCGTCTTCTGTCCCATTTGGTCGGGTTATGCGGACTCTAAACAAGAAACAGACGACATTTTATTGCCCTTGAGGATTTTCATGCGTTAAATTCTCAAAGGTACATTTTAAAATTCTACATTTCAATAGATTTTTACCTTTGAAATAACGGCCGTAGGCGGCAAAACCTGGATGGGGATGCCTGGGAGGTCGCTGATAGCGTATACAAGTAGGCTGCCGTTTGGTTGAAAGTTTGAGCTACGAAACGTCGGAGTCGATTCATAACCGTTTCGCTCGACAAACGCGTATTGGATTGGCATCCGGCCGATCGAAACTGACGGTACAAATAGTTTCCGATTCAGATCTTATTTGTGACTTATCGATACCAAGGTAATATTAGTATTGTTGGTAGTAATGCCGATAAATCTAACCATCATCAGTTCGCGCACGAGTAGGCCGTGTACTGTCATTGAACCCTTTTGCTGGGAACATGTAAGGCACTAATGGGACCTAATTAGCGGAAACGTATGCTAATATTGATGTATGTCAATCACTTTTTGTCATAGACATCAGTACACACTGCCCTTGGACCTGTGTTATGTGCATAAATAAAATAGTTACTTGACTTTTTTACATAAGTAATAAAAAAATAGATACAACCCATCGAGCACCGGAACACTTTGTTTATTGTCCTGAACTTTCAGACTTGTACAGGAGTCCGTCGTCAGAGGTAGTAACAGCAATAGAAGAAGCGACAGTTATAAGGCATTTAGGACAATCATCGACCGACGTCGCACGACTGGAGGTGACTACGCAGGGATCTGTACGCCGGCGCCAGATTGATAAATCGATTGACCGAGTTCTCGTCCGAGGCACAGGCTTCAATCAGTTGTCGGCCTGTTTTGCTTCCGGCCTAGGCGACTATTTTGATGACTGCGAAGTGAAACTCGTGACCCATTTCGTAGGTGTGGGCGGCCACTTGTGAGAATGCGCCGCCTCGTTGCGCAGTCAACTTATGTTCGTGTATGCGCGATCCGAGCATGCGCCCAGTCTGTCCTGTGTAGTTACAAGGACAATTTTGACACGGAATGCGATACATTACTCCAGATTGCTCTTCAGGCTTTAACCGGTCTTTGATTTTCACGACGCTATGGCTCATGGTGGCTTTGGGGCGGTGTGCAATTCCAACACCTATCTCCGAAGCCATGCGCTCGGTCGCTTCTGAAACACCCTTGATGTATGGCAGAGAATGCCATATCGTCGGTGGCGTTTATGTTCGAGTTCTCTGGTGGCAACCGCGTATGCAGCGACTTAGGAATGCCCTCGGACAGTCATTTTGCACAAACTGTTAGCGGAGATAACGGGCCTCACGCGCTTTGTTCTCCGGTTTGCTGCAATTAGTTTGGATCCGTTTGAAGAGCGTCTTCACACAGCTTCGTTTGTGAGCCACCGGATGGTTGCTGTGAAAACTGAGAAGCTGCGTGGTGTTTGTTGCCTTCCTATAAACCGTCGTTTCAAGTTCACCGTTAAGGTCTCGTTTGACGAGCACATCCCGGAAGGGCAACTGCTGTTCCTGTTCTTCTTCCCTCGTGAATTTTATATCCGGGAAGACTGCGTTGAGCAGGCTGGGGAAATGTTACAGCATGTCCTTCTTTATGATGACGAACGTGTCGTCTACGTAACGGCGCAAAAACACCCGTTCATTTTGGATAAAGGCAATTTTTTCTAAATCCTGTAGTACCAGTTCTGCCACTAAACCGGAGACCGGTGTGCCCATCGGGGTTCCCTTGATTTGTTCATAGGTCTCTCCCGCAAAAGTGAAGAAAGTTTGTTGACAGAATTCAAAAAGCCTCATGAGGTGTTCAATTTTGAGGGCATTCTGAGTCTCATCGTACGCCTCTTCAAGTCTCTTGCGCAAGACTTCGCGGGCCAAGTTTGGTGGGATGGATGTGAATAACGACATCACATCGAAGGAGGCCATGATTTCATCCGATTGAATCCCCCGACCTCGGAGGTCTATGAGGAATTGAGAGACTGATCGAACTGAAATAGTCGAATGGCCTTGGAGGAACTTCAGTTTTGAGTACATCCACTCTGCCAAATTGTAGGTGGGGCTGCCTTTTAGGGCAACGATTGGCCGAAGTGGGACATTCGCTTTATGGATTTTTGACAGACCGTAGAATCGAGCTAGAGTGGTGTCAGTTGTCCACATCTGGTGCCATTCATTCTCTGTGATCACATTTTTATGTCGGTATTCTATGAGTAGTTTACTCAGCCGATCTGCCAATGCTTTGGCTTGTGAGCTATATGCTGGTCTGTAAAATTCTCTGTCATCAAGAAGGACTTTAGCTTTTCATTATAGTCTTCCCGATTCATCAAAACCGTTGATCGTCCCTTGTCAGCAGGTAGAATGCTAGTGCTGTCGTCCCTCCTCAGTTCCCTCATAGTCTTTGACTCACTCTGCGAAATACATTTGGTTGGTCTGTGTGTCATCATCAAGGAAGTAACACGTTGTCGGACGGAGTGTTTCATGTCGTCGGATGTTTCATTTCTCACAAGCATAGCTTCCAGGGCTGCAATGAAGTCGACAGGATCGGCATATGCAGTGCTGAAGCAAGTTTCATGCTGTAACACTCGTAGTTGCTGCTCTGTTAGCTGCTTAGACGAGAGGTTGTGGACCAAGTTTTGAGCTTTCTGTGCCTGGTGGTTTTGGCTTAGTCCGTTTCCGTTCAAAAACTTCCCTCTTCTTGGCTTACCTGTGGTGTGCCAGAGCGGTGATCGTCTTCCCAAGATAAGCGGCGATAGAATCGCCGAGAATGTGGACAAACTGTCATCTGTTCTCCTCGATCTCAGGCTTGTATTTCTGCAGACGCCGGTGAAAGTCGTCGATCAGAACTCTTGTCATCTGTTTGACAAACCGCCTCACAACGTTTCTTCATACTACTACTAATTATTTTTATTAAAGACCTGTCGGGGTTATCTCAAAGCAAATAAAAATAAATTTACATGCAAATTATAGACGAGGTAGGCAAAATCTGTACAAAGTGCAATTAATAGTTTTTGAATTAATAGTCCGTTAAAAAAATGATTAGGGAGGTGTGAAAAAAAACTCCACATGAAAATTCGAAAATGACTGGATTAATTTTACAGGAGAAAAACCCCCGCTAATAATAATAACAGAAAAATGCGTTCAGGACTGGCCTGCATGTGGCGGTATATAACGGATTATAATCTGACATCTTCGGGACAGAAATAAATGCCAGCCTTCAGGGGTACGCATGCGGATCGGACAGGACTGGCATACATTGATGCATGCGACGACAGGAGTTAAAAGAAAAAGAGAAGGAACTAGATTGTTCCGATCAGGCGCCCAAACCTAAAAACTGGCGAACACTTCCATACATTAAGAATGTGTCCGAACTAGTTGAAAGACACCTGAGGAAGCACCAGATACATGTGGCGCACAAACCGACGACTACACTTCGTAACCAGCTTGTACACCCTAAGGATAGGGTTGACTATTTAGATAAGACGGAAGTCGTCTATAAGATACCATGCAACACCTGTAATGCGGTTTACTGTGGTCAAACCGGGAAATCGGCCTCTACACGAATACACGAACATCAGTTGGCCGTAAAAAGGCGAGACTACTTGCCCCAAGTTGCCATGCATACGTTGGAAACCGGACACAAATTCGCCTGGGACAGGATCCGCATTGTAGGTGTCTGTTCATCTAAAAAGGGTCGTGAATTTTTAGAGGCCATCCATTCTGATAACGCATGCATCAATGGACACGTAGAATTGGATACGGTGTACAACCGCCTCAAGGAAAAGTGGGAAAGGCATTAGCCAACCAGAACAAGACACCAGCAGGAATGACAAGGCAAAATCGATTTTTCGGCATGTTTAAATGTTGAGTGTTTTGCACACTTATTCCACGTCTGAAGACGACTTGGGGAACCAAGATCGAAAATTTGCAATAAACCTTGTTAATCTTTCCCAAAGAGCTTATTTCTTTCGAATTATGATTCTTGTGATGCCTGTTTTCAAATTCATGTGGTATTGTATACGCGATTTAGAACCGACATCGTCAGCGCAGGATTCATACGCCAGATGAGCCAGATGAGGCCAGACGAGAGGAATCCAGACGTGATCGGCCACAGTACGCTTCGAGCCCAGCCGAGGAGTGGGGAAGGGAGGTACGACCAAACTACTAGTATACGGCGAATACTGAGGGTTCCTCCGTGAGCGTTGACAGACCGCATGAGGTCGAAATGCGGGATATGACACCAAGAACCGTTAAAATCGTCACTGTATATGGCATAGTATAACGGATTTCATTAAGGGGTAAGTAGGCGGGTCAGACAGGACTAGCCTGTATGTGGCCTCGAATAAGGCAAATAAGTGGCGAAATTGAAAACCAGTCTCGAGGCGATAGGAACCCAGATGCGATCGGGTACATTCATCCGAGTCCATCCGAGGATGGGGCAAGGGAGATGCAACCAGACTACTAGTACATGGCGAATAGAGAAGGCTTCGCCAAGAGCATCGATAGAGCGCATTCTGTGAGGGCACGATACATGAACTGAATAATTTGAAAAATTAACATTATTGGTGAGGGATCTTAGGAAGCGATACGACTCACAAAGGAAGGAAATGTGAGCAGATACGGAAAGTTAATGGCTGCGTCCTAAATGCCCCGTGGCCCTTCCTCAGTGTCACAGAGAAATTTGTCCGGGAAAGATGAGGAAAATAAAAGTTTAGTCGAGTCAGTATTCATATAAAGGCGTAACCTTCTCTTAAAGGTGTGTAGATTTTCTGAAGATCTTATATTTATTGGACGGCTATTCCAGAGGAAAGTATATCTGGAAGCGAAAAAGAGAGCGCTTAGAGGTGGAGGAAGCTGGAAGAGGTATAATCAAGGAAGAGTTGCGAATATTGTATGGGCGACTACCAGGGGTAAGTGCTGAAATCCGAGGAAGAGTTGAACTATTATAAATGCGAAAGAGGAGACAGAAGCCTGCTTCTAGTCTTCGAACCCATAAAAATTTTAGGTTAATTAGCTGGCATCTATCTTAGTAGGCGATACTTGGATGTTCCCTATCTAAAAGTTTTTTTGAAAAACGTCTTTGGACATTTTCAATTTCTAAACAACTAGCCTCATCCATCAATCCAAAGAATGGGCAACAATACTCGAGAATGGGAAGTACAAACATACGACAGGGCCTTAATTTGATTTCAGGAAGATAGAAACTGTAAGAAATAAAGCCACAAACCTGGGCAGCTTTGGCTGTTATTCCGTCAGCGTGTGACGAGAGATCAAGATTATTGGCGTAGCTTAAACCTAAATCCTTGATGGTGGCACATTCAGTCATAGGCGTGCCTTGAAAGACCACTGGTTGGAGTAGCCTCTTAGGTCCAAAACACGTATATTGACACGTAAACAGAGAGAATTCCATTAGTCATTTTGAGCTCCAAGCTGAGAGAGCAAGCAAGTCAGCGTGGACTTCCCGCAGGCAATGAAGGCTCGTAGATTTATTGAAAGAATATACACATTTGAGATCATCGGCATAAATAAATGAATGAGAATATTTAACTGCCGCCGAGATATCATTTATATAAAGCAAAAACAAAAGAGGACCCAGAACGGTACCTTGTAAGACACCACTTACAATAGGGCTTTCACTGGAAAGTGAAGATTCCACCAAAACCTTTTGTTTACGATAAGACAGGCGTGACTTGATAAAGTCTATTAGAGGACTGCGAAGTCCCAGAGCTTCCAATTTAACCAAGAGTCTTTTATGTGGCACTTGATCAAGGCTTTACTTAGATCAAAATACATAACGACAACAGATGGATAGTCATTACGAAGAGAGGTAAGTAGATTTAGAAACGACAAATGACATGTTTCACAAAAGCGATCTGGTAAAAAACCATGCAGGGAAGGGCTAATCACTTAATTGGCTATGCAAAAGTCGGTAGTTTTTAAGGCGATAATTTTTTCAAAGGTTTTAGGAAGAGAAGGCGTTTTATGTACACCTCGATAGTTCTGAACGTCGGAACGACAGCCAGACTTAAGTACAAGAATAATAATAGAAGTTTTCCAGTAGACAGGAAAGAAGTCATTTACGAGGAATACTGAAAAGAGTTGGCTAAGCAGAGGAGGAAAATCCCGTAGCTGTTTTATAAGAGAGTTTGGGATATTGTCCGTACCTACTGAGTGAGAGTTAGGAAGATGGTTTATCAGTTTTTGAATAGTTTCAGGAGAAAAATTAATGATGCTGAGAGGTGCATCAGACAACGGAGGAATTAAAGGGATTGGGTCAGTTTCGATGGTGAAATGTTTGGCAAAGAAAGAATTTAACATTTCTGCTTTGCCTGACTCCTCTATAATGAAGGCATCGATGGTACTAAGCAAAGGCGGAATGACTTGGTGGGACTTAGCTGATGATCTTGGACGGAAAATCTGAGCAACTGATTTAGAAGCATTCAAGTCATTAATAGCTAAAGACTCTCTACGCCTATTTCGCGCGCGCCTCATTTTCGAAGCTAGTTAAAATATTTCAACGATTCTTAGATGAACTGATAATGAGCTCACAGATGGATCTTTAAGCTGCTTCTATAGCTTTTTAAGTCTGCTTTTAAGAAAGTGTGGGACAGCGGTGGGATTAGCCCTTGATTTGAACATCTTCCATGGAATTAGGTCGAGAAGACCTTCTGTTACGCATTGCAATAAATTGTTAAAAAAAAATTTAGGTCATTATTTGAAAAAATATTATGCCAATCAAGAGTGTTTGTAAAGCTGTTTACTAATTCCTTGTTAATATTAGCAAAGTCAAAAATACTACGTTGTGCTGTTGGCTTTGCGGAAATGGCAACTGGAGGGCGACAATGGATTAATGCATGATCACTTGCAAAAAGGTCATGATAGGAATCCATAGATAGAGGGAAGGAGCCATTAGTGAAAATTAAGTCTAATACACTATCATTTCTGGTCGAAGAGTGGACTAATTGAGACAGGTTTAAAAAGTAAATGGTGTCAAGCAGCTTCTGGAATTTAGGAGGAGAAGTATGTGTGTGCCAGTCAATTTCTGGCAAATGAAAATCGCCTACGATAATCTTCACATCGAAAGGAGTCTCTGCAATCTTTTCAAAGAGTTCACAGAGTTGGCTTTCATTTTCGGAGTAACAAGGAGGATTATATACAAATCC